TTATAAGGAAATTGTGCATGCATTTAATTAATCCAATGAAGTCAAATTAGTAGAATCCGAGCCATTTTAACTCCCGAGGACTTTTACTTATTCTCAGTTTTTCTATTTTCGGAGATTTTATTCTTGTTGTTTTTTTTTTCTTTTAAGACCTGCATTAATGACCCGCATCACATTCAACTTCCTTTGAGATGTTTCAAAAGTAATCTGGGATTCGGAAACTAATTCGTTTAACGTTCTTTGTTCTTCCTTCTTTGATTTTTTTCCCGTCTCTTTAGGCTGTTCTTATTAGTTTTGTTCTTAACCAGCTCGAATTTTGTCCGTCTTATAGTTTAAACATGTACACAAACGCAAACGTGAACACAAGGGGAATGCTCTTACCTGAATTGATTCTTGATACGACTTCATTGGATACTACAGGCCAAGCTCCGTAATAAAACAGCAAAGCGAAATTTAAAAGAACTAAAACATATAACATGGGCTTGACTAACGCTCCACATACCATTCCTAGTCGCTGTAGTTCTTGCCTTGTTATCGTACGAATTTTTTTTCCTACTTTAATTATTCTCCTGCCTGCGTGTGAAAGTTCTTCTTCACTGGCGAAATCATTGTCTTTCCTGAAATGATTGCCTCGCTAATTACTTGCATGTTTAACTTTAACTTAGGTTTCCATGTTATTTTGCAAGGACTTATAAAAGTGCAAAGCAGCGGTTCGCCCCAGGCCGACAGCTGCTCGGCAATGGTCTTCACAGAGTCATGAAAAGGGACTATCGCACAATTTATTATCATGATTATTATTATTATTACTTCAAAACATTTCAAAGACACTATGGAGTACTCAAAGTGTCCTAGAAATTATTACCACCGAAAGTTGCAATTAAATACCAGTATAAACAATCAGAATGAGCCCATGGTATGGACTGATATTGTACCTCGTTGTATTTCTATTAAAATGCTGAGAGTTATATGTCGATTCAATGAGTCTGCGCGTTAAAAGTAATTTTCCTAAACATGTGGTAGCGATTTTTTCCAGTGAAATAACTGTTCGAATTAGCAAATATTGTCTACAGGCATATATAAATCTTGAGAAAGGCTAAAATTCCGCATTCGTTCGTTTGTTCATGTATTTTTGCCATTGACCTTTCACATGAGGGAAAAGCCACAAACGTTTCCACGTTTGATGCGGTAAAAACGAAACTCTCGTTCCATGACTGTTTTCGTACTTTATTACCTCTGAATTTTGTCATAATAACCTTGAAATAAATTTATAAATTCCAGCTTACTCAATAAAATACATAGTCCGTATATCAAATTATGTAAGTAAGGTTGTATAATGCTTACCCGCGTGGAAGGCGCTAGAAAATGATGGTGAATAGGGAGTGAAAATTTCTATCCCTTGTCCTTCCACAGAGCGCAAAACGTCGGTTGGATGCCGGTATCGATGCAAACAGTGCGTATGTCGCGTCGTGTAACTCTGCCCCAAATTGAGGAGCATCGTTAACATTTAGAACTTAAACCGAGTAAAAGAGATTCATACTAAAGTTCGTATTCTTCCTCTTTAATATCTGTCGAGCAAAGACTCAAAGTGCACTTTTACCGCTTACGACCTAAAGTTGACATCCCCAATCAAATTAACGCCTCATTGCACCCATACCGGCGACGTTAATAATGAACGCGTCCTATCTATTTTATGGCCTGTTTACATGGAGGTGGGGGACCCCAGGTAGTTGAGGTAACCCGCTTTGGTAGGTAACCCGCCTGTCCAGATAATCTCTCATTTTAATTTGATCACGTTTACATGATAGGTGAGGTGACCGCCGCATGTTACCTCACCTACCTGGGGTCCCCCTCCATGTAAAAAGGCCGTTAAAAGCCCCTGCCTGCCTCAGTTGGACTCCTAAATTTCTAATTTCCTTGTGGGTCTATTAGAACATTTAGGGAGTTGCTATAACAAGAATATTGTGCATATTCAGATGACAGACAACACTTTAATGTATCTAAACGCTCCATTTATGAAAGTGAAGAATGATCATCGCTCCATTTATTTCATTTATAACCGGACGGCCATATTCATAAAAATGGCAGGCAGTTTTTCTATCGCTAGCTACAGGAAATATTCCTTCGAATAATGCACTAAATGAAGCTGATAGATAAATCTAGAAAAAAAAAGTAAAATACTTAGTTTATTTTCGAGGCAGGCGCTAATTCAGGAAGCGGAGGAGGAAAACGAGCCCTGGAATGTTTACCACTTGTCTGCAATATTAGGGAGCTTAAGCAACGACGACCGAAACGACTTCACAAAAACAATAGGTTTCCATGATCAAAACATCAGCTACGCACGTGCATCACGCTTTTGACGTCCACTGCACGACTACGACGTGAAACCTCCTAATTTGACGTTTTATGGAGGACGTGGACATACGACCACGGATTTTCCTTCCTCTTTTTGAACCTGAATAAAATCCTTAAGAATTCAACTCCTGGAAAAGTCGCCTGCATTTGACTTATTGAACAGGTCCAAATAGACGCGATTAAGTTTGAAAGAACGCAAATTCATTTTTTTAACGACTGTTCCACTGCCGTCGTCGTCGTCCTTGCTTAAGGTCCCTATTCTCATTACGAGAAGACATGTTGAGCGCTCCTAAGTATATCACTTAATCTGTCGAGAACTTTAAACCCCTGAGTAGCAATTTAGACTCGCCAATGAACATCTCTTCCCAGAAATCTTATAAAAAACTTGACTATTTTCCTAGTGTTCAATTGGTTTTATATTACATGATAATTTGCGGCTCTGGCGAGGAGTTCGATATGGATTTATGCGGAAGAATTCTTCCACCGTTGATATATAATTCATCTTTTACTATGACATCCTCTCCTAGCACAGACACTCCTTCCATTCGAACCTACGGAAAACAAGCAGAAATTTTTATAACCGATTGTGTGCTCCAGGGAAACAAAAGGTAAATATTCACTAAAAGAAAGCGAGATCTCCAAGCAGGATTTTAGGTGGAGATTGCAAGAATATCAATTTTTACATATTTCCAAGCTAGTAACATACTTTAGCATCAATGGAAATACAAAAGGTCGATCCTGTTGCAAGATATTCGTAGTGCCCGGCCAATTCCCTGAAGGCGATGTTTATTGTTACATGAGTCAATTTGCAACGAAGATTTTTAGGACAACAATGTTGGAACAATGGAGTCACAATTCAAAACAACGTCGTAACAAATGAAAGTTGCAAAGCTGTGTTGCACTGAAATCGTCCCGTATAACATAAGAGTGTCGGAAGATAAAGAAGAAGTGAAATCAGGTAAGGACGATAGCAATGTTAATCACAACGGTGAATGGCGCTAAGGGAGATGATGATGGTAACAATATTAATGATGATGATGATGATGATGATGATGATGATGATGATGATGATGATGATGGTAGGAATGATGATGATTTTAAAACTTTTTATTTTAAACTAATCTATTTTCAATTAATTCAATTTATTGCTGTGTACGTGAAACACAAATAAATAACCTACCCATTGTCCAACAACTGACTTCCAACCAATAATTGCAGAATGAATCCATGAATGAGATCTTATGACTGACTCTTGCATTATTGTACAGCGTGAAAGACATACCCCTGATGAACAAATCAGCAAGAAAACGATGCGTTCGACAAAGCAAAAAGGTCTTAATAAGACATTTGTATGTACAGGAATAGTGACTTCTGTCTACTGCAGAAAGTAGTTGATGTGACAAAGTGTTCTGATTTCATGCCCTTGTTGCGTTGTTCGCAATCCTTTTGCTACCAGCAGAGATCAGAGTCAATGTTAGACCAAGTCTGGGCAACCTAACTTCAAGTGCATCAAATACCGTGACTCATTTGGAATACAAAATGTTACTTTGGTCCCCAGAATGTAAAATAAAAAAGGTAAGTTTAGCCAACACATTTTAAACACTTTAAGCAAAGAATTCTCCAAACTGGACTACCATTAAGGCAAGAGTTGGTCTTAAATGACCCCGTGTTGGGAAGGAAACATAAAGTATGGTGCGGATCAAACTGGCGATTCACTGCCTTTTGTTTGACTACTCAAAAGTTGACTGGCAATGAATTTAGTGCTATAAAATCGAAGCACTACAATTCTTCACTTTTACATGGTTTCACTTCGAACCTTCGTCACGACACTTACATCTGTTTTATCAGTAGAAATCTCGATTCATGGACTACAATGTTAGAGGATGACGCGTCACAGTGAATATATAATTCACGAATCACGGCTGTATTTCATAAGTTTTCCCGCTTCACACTCTGTTTACCGGTCAATGCATGGATCACGCGAAACCCCTCCCAGACCCTGTTAGGAGAAAATAAATTGATGTTGGTAACTTTTAACAATACTCACCATCCTGAATGACAGCATTTGGACCAATGACTACATTAGGTCCTATTCTACAGTTCTCTCCTATTTTAGCACTAGGATCCTGGATAAGCAAAAAGGAACAAGTAGGTTGAGTATGATCGTACGGGTGAACATAGTCCTGAATAGGACTGTTGATGACAGTGACTGAGGTTTTGACAACCTGTGTGATAGTCATCTTCAAAGCCAAAGTGAGTTGTATCACATCAGTTGATTAAACTCTGGTTAATGACCTGATTAGTCAATTAAGTCCCGACGTTATTGGTCGTCTGTCAGTTAGGCCGAGATCGACGTTATTGGCTATGAAGACTCGTAATGTCATTGGTGCATTTCAATCCATCTACTCTGACAGTTAAACAGTTGTGTATTGTTAGTCAAATTGTCCAGTCATTCTCTTGTAGTTAGTTTTGCTTAAGTCTAGTGCTGGTAACTGTTGACTACACATGGAAGATATTACAATAGATTTTTAGAATAGTTGTACAAATAAAACCTTACCTGCCTGAGTAATTAAATTGATAAAGAAGGATTTATGGATTCAAGATGGCCATCTAACAACTTACCACAAGCACATTGCCAATACTCCCAGGTCCCTCGTGGAGGAGTTCTGGATGTTTTTCTCTCAAATATCGTAGGTACATAACCATGCCTGTTAAGAAGTCTTTCGGCTGCCCTACATCCATCCAAAACCCTGCAACAACAACAACAACAACAACATAATTATTAGCAAATGAATAAGGTATCTAGTCTTCATGTTGAGGGGGGCCAGGGAGACAGGGTGGGGTCCAAAGCTCCCTCCTCCCGTACCCCTTTTTTTCTTGGCTACCTCCCTTCAACCTTTTTTGATTGCTAAATATCAAGCATTGTTGAGTTTAAGTCCCTCCCTATTTCTCCTGCTTCTCACCCTTTCAGAACTCCCTCCCCCCATTTCCTCCATACCTCCCACACCCCTTCCCCTCCCCTATTTTCCCAAGCTCCCACCCCTCTGTCCTCCACTGCAAACTTAGACGTGCTTTGAAGGGGAAAGATGGAAAGGGGCAACTAACACTCACAAGAATACGATGGACTCATGTGACTATCCCTTTCCATTTATAGACCAGCTACATAGTCTATGTTGAAGTATACCTACCTGAAAGGTCAAATGCAAACAGATTATCATCTTGAGCCATCTTTGGAAAAATCTCCTTTTCTATGGACGTTGGTCTCAGCTGTGTCGCAAAACAAACAGCAAGAAAAATATAATATACTTGCTTCACCTTATCAACTATCTAAATAATATTGCCCAGCATTATTTCAATATGGGTCCAGCCTTATCCCAAATAAACCAGTCCCTCAGTGTTTATCCCATATTTTGACGTTCATGAGAAAAGTGCGAAAAATTCATTTTCCTTTTTTTTTTCCATTCATGTAACATTTATTTTTAACTTACAATACAATAGAGCTGGATAATATTTCACTAACTTCCATATCTAATTGTTTTGTGCTGTTGGTTGAGGGACACAACTGTATTTTGTTTGAGGTGCTTAGTGATTCAGTTGCCCTCAATACAGGCTTTATGGGGTCACACCGGAGTGTCTGCAGACACTATATCGGTTTCCTTAAAGAAGAATTGGTAGTACGTTTAATATGTTGAGGACCAACAGATTCCTCTTTACAACAGAGGGTTTGTTTCAGAGTTTGTTTAGAGAGGTTTGCCATTGAATACAGGGCTCAAAATAAGGGCCAGTCAACTGACAATGTCCGGGCAAGATGACCATTTGCCTCGACAAAAAGTATGGTTTGTCTGTCATTTTGAAAGACACATAAGTAAGTAAGGGTTCATAATATTTTAAGAGGACAAGCATCTTTTTTCACTTTCTGTTTTTGCTTGTTAGGACATACAATCGTGTTATTTTAAACATTTTGACCAGTCAGAAGAAAAACATAACCAGACTAGAATTTCTTTGGCCAGTCAACACGACTGGCAGTTTTATTTTGAGTCCTCGACTGATACGCATGAATAAGTACAACTAAAGATACAAGTAAACCCACCTCAATTCTATCAAGAATCTTTGGGCTGAAAATGTAGAGCCCTGCATTAATCTTGTTTGACACATACACTTGAGGCTTTTCAACAAACTTATCAATCCGTCCTGTTTTTAAATCATACACAACAACACCATACTTGGATGGTTCCTCAACTTTTGTTACCTGTTTCAAAGCAACAGAAACAGCCAAGCTATGTAAGAGAACAATGCTCTGATTTCAGTGCAAAACACAGTTTACAAAGGGGTACTATTAATTTTGTGATTAAAAGATCACTAACTTGTGCTAATGCTAATATTGGAAAAGCCAGCATGCAAAGAAAGGCGTATCCAATAGCCAACAGCTAGTGAATTTTGCTGTGGAGCTGTGAATTTTGTTCTTAACTTGCCCAGTTGGCAAATGACGTTTTTTGGGGGTTGGAATTCAAATTACAGAAGAACTGTCACCAACCCGGCTCATCAAAAATTTTTTCCAAGCACTGTACTCAAATAGGCTAACTTCAGAGAACAAAAGAATCCACACCCCTCTGCCCTCCCCTCCATTCAAAGTTGGGGTGTTTGTTGTTTTCTACAGGTAGCTTGAACAGCCGCACAACATTGTGTGGAGGGAGTGGAGGCAAAAGCTTTATTTTCCCCTTTTGAATTTGGTAAAATGTTGGAAAGCGGCAAAGTGTCTCAACTAATTTTGTCGCCGATTGCATAATTATAGTTAAAAGGACCCTTGGCCTGGTAAATGCTAGCAACAGCTTACTCGAATGGCATTAGTAGTAATACTGAATTTCTCTGCAGCCTAAAGAGCATTTAAAATGTAACAATTCAAACCATTACCCTAAACTGGCAATAATATTAACATTAATTTCTTTAACCATTGGCATGCGCAGCATCTAACTGTAAAATATAGTTTGTGTTAATGCAGAAACAATAATTAGCAAAACTGTGTATGCTCACAACAATAGTGCCTTCTTTTCCATGATTCTTGTGGAATTCTGCCATTTGCTTGAAAGGGAAATCACACACTACATCACTATTTAAGACAAAGAAAGGCTCATCGTCTACTGTCAAGTGATCTCTTGCTAAAGCCAGAGGACCCGCTGAAAATATAAAAAAGATCAAGCTGTAAACATAGGAGTAGCAGAATCTTCTATCGGTACTCATGTGTCGCGTAAAGCCTTGGTGGATCTTGGTTGCAGAAGATTGGGGGGGGGAGTGGGTCACCTTATGTAGGTCCTCCTCGGTGGGCTTATTAGAGAGACTGGCTGGGTGACCAGGCCCAAGTTGATGAAAAGATGGATGCTGCCATTCACTGGACAAACAATCTTTATCCACTGGGTAATGCAATTGTTTTCGTAAGTCTTATCTGCTGCACAGTGATTTATCCAGTGGACTATATTATCCATTTTCTGAACAAACAGGAACATCTGAGAATTTTCTGTCTTGTAGAAAGTGGAAATAATAAATAGCACATGTGGTTTGCATCAATCTTCTTTCCAGTTAGTATTTTTCTTCTGGAGATGCAACAAATTAACTTACCTGTGCCCAGAGGCTCTTTTTCTTGTGAGATTGTGATTGTAATTCCTAACTGTGAAAAGAAAACAAATTATTGGTACGCTGTACAAATTGTGGAAATTACAAGACTTTTTGGTAAAATCCAGTGTTAAAAATAACACTGCTAGCCTAGGAAATATAAACCATGGCTAGAGAGCTACTCACTCGAAGGATTCATGAAAAAAAAATGATTGTTGTGTGTAAATGCAGTTTGATTTTATGTTGATTTCTCTTCTTATTCAACAAGAAAATTGAAAGGAGAATCGAGGAGTTGATCAGAACTAGCCTATCGCCTACTGTCAGCAATACCAACACAGTTCTATAACAACACAATAACAGAGTTAAGAGAGCTAAAATTGTAATAAACTCACCCTGTCCTGTTGTTGTTTCATCTCTTTTTCTAACATCTCTGCACGATAACTGACGGCAAGGATGATATGCTTTACACCAGCCTTAAAGGAGAAGTAAATTTAGAAAAAAAGTCATGTTAACTAACGAACTTTGCTCAACATTTTTACTCCTAAACCAAAGTATGCCAAGATTATTTGTTGACTCTAACTTTTAAACCTATGGACAAAATCCTATGATGTTACCATTCAATTGAAACCTCTTCAGCAGTACCTTCACATGGTACTATTTATTTAGTATGTAGTTCTAACTTTTAAATCTATGGATGATATTCTGTGGGGTTACCATTCAAATAAAAACTCTCTGACAAAACTTTTACGTGGTGTTATTTATTTCCCAAGAATTTACAAAAAGGATTTTTGAATTTTTGTGAGTTTATTTACATTGCCTATTATTAGGAATGAAAGGGATTGAATTAATGCAAAAAGAAGCAGATCCAGAAAAGTATCATACACAGCTGTCAATAACTTAAAGTGTTATTAACAAGTAAATGTAAAAGATAATCCTGAAAAATAGTTTTATTGTAGAAAAGCTGGAATGAAAGGTTAGAGCATAAAAGATCATGCTAGTTGTCATATACTAATGTAGATCAAGGACAAAACAGCTGACAAAACATGTATTGGTTAGCATTAAATTCGAATCAAGATTCCAACACTCTTTACGTGAATTAAAAGCTAATATGGAGAACTTCATTATACTGACTTCTTGACGAGATTCAGCTGATTATCTGGTGATCAGAGATTATAGCTCAAAGCTTACCTGTACCAAGGCTTCTATCTGGTGCATTACCATAGGTTTGTTGCAGAATTCAACAAGAGGCTTCGGTTTCGATAGAGTTAGCGGACGTAGCCTTGTTCCATAGCC